TTCATACTTCAATGGAGGGGAAGGCTAATCAATGCGGTAGCAAACAACTCGGAGCTGTACAACACCAGCTGCTTTCAGTACCGAGACAGGAATAAAAAGGACCGAGCTTGGAGGAAGATATGTGAAGAGATCGGGCAACCTGGTAAGTTCATTCATTTCTCTTTTGAAAGTTTTCACTGACCCGGGAAGCCGCACAAAAGCTAGCAAGCCACGTACAAATACCGTTCTGCTTTTATGCATGTTGTCATTTAGGAATATATTTTATTGTTTATTAATAAACAGCACACAGTGGTCCCGCTGTTCATCCGTCACTGCTTTGCTTTTTCGCTGATTTTTTATTGCACAGTACAGCATTGCATTCTGCAGCCTGATTGACAAATCTCCTGCGCTTGCCAAATTTATCACGTTTGGTTTTGATAACCATCGCGTCCAATAGAAAAAACAGCACAAAAACACCCATAACTATGAGCCTCATTCGGAAATAGACACCTGCACCGTGAGGGAAAAAGGCGCACGAAAGTGGCGGGCAGATGAAGACAAAACACGGCATAATAATACTTTTACGTTTTGCAATCTACAAAGGTTTGCACTTTGAGAATCAATTGTGAGAACTGTGACCAGTTCTCACAAGTTATTCTGAGAACCCCTGCAATAAATGAGGGACCACTGTCTACTCTACGATTATTATATCGAACCTGTTAACATTTAATACTGTATTGATAGAACCAACTGATTCTGCAGCAGAGCATCCCCAGTCCCTGAGCTCCTGCTGCTGCACCCACAGATATGTACAGCAAGCACTGATACCTTTTTAGTCGGTGGGATTCCCTTGTGATCACCTTTACTAAATATCTACAACCAATCTGATTATATCCTGTTATTGTTTTTTTTTTTTTTCAATGTTGAAATTAAAATCTAGTAGCAGCCTTCTCATTTCTTTGTGTTTTGTGCTGTTTTACAGGCCCACAGAGGAGGACGGCTCCGAGGCAGATGAGGGACGGGTCCCAGGACGGTCCATCGGCGGTGGAGCTGGCCATCCTGGAGTCCCTGAAGAGGCCACACCAGTCTCCAATGGAGCATTTCCTCCTCAGCCTTGTTCCTGCTCTGGAGAGCAGCTGGTCCTTTTTATTCCTGTCTCTCTGTAAATTCTTATATTTTATATATTTATGTTTAATGTTTTTCTGTTTGAGACTTTTAATATTATTTCAAATAAATGTTTATAATGACTAATGTCTCAGTTCTACTACACAGCAAATGTTGGCACACAACTTGACACATGTAGAATTTATTTCATATTATACTAATGACAAAATATACTGATACAGTGGGATGCAGAAGTTTGGGCAACCTTGTTAATAGACATTATTTTCCTGTATAAATCGTTGGTTGTTACAATAAAAAATGTCAGTTAAATATCATACAGGAGACACACACAGTGATATTTGAGAAGTGAAAAGAAGTTTACTGGATTTACAGAAAGTGTGCAATAATTGTTTAAACAAAATCAAGCAGGTGCATCAATTTGGGCACCACAAAAAAGAAATGAAATGAATATTTAGTGTATATCAATGTGTGTGTCTCCTATATGATATATGGGGTGCCTTTGTCTGGACGTGCTTCCCATCCAGAGCTGCACAGCACAGAGGAAAGTTCCAGCGCTCCTGGAATCCCTCTGTGATGGAGCGCCAGTCTCCAGGTGAAGGCACAGCCATGAAGTCGTCCACTAGACAGTCCCAGATGGACGTCGCTGCCTGGGGGGGTGATCTGGCTCACCGTGGACACACCGACTCTGAAACTGAACGCGATGGTCCTGAAGGAGTCCCCGGTGACAAGGAACCTGGACAAAATTGTTCAAAATCAGTATTATGTGTACTGCAGTTACAAAATACATTATTCAAATTCCAAAATACTTTTGTGATGTCAGATTTAAATCACAAAACTTAAATCTTACATAAAACATTTTGTAATTATAAAGATAATTACAAAATGTATATTAGATAATATCTAAAACAGTTGTGTTTTGTTTTAACTTTAACATATCATAATTTGATTGGTAGCAACTTTCACAACTACAGTGAGCCAATCACTCATAATTCCTAAACATGTCAATCAGGTAGGAATGAAGTAAGACATTAATAGAAATAAAGAGTTGTGTGTTGACATGTAGCCCTTTCCTTGCTTAAATCATTAATGTTTTTGAAAAATTAATCTGTGATAAGACAGCTTATCAAGATAGAACCATGTAACTAGAGATGAACCAAACTGTTCAGTTTTATCTAACTCTGTTTTAATAAAGGCTGGTGACCCCTGTTATAGTCTGACAGCTGCAGGGATTATATACAAATATTCAACTATCCCAGAATTAAACCAGGTCTAAATAAAAAGGAGTGAGTATCACTACAAAGGTTAACTCAGTGGTGCTAATGCTACAGTTTGATATCAGCAAACACCGAGCGCATACATTGATGTGACACCACAGCCATGCTATCATGCAAACACTGATAACAGCATAAATCGAATTAAATCGGGACTTGATGAGACCTTCTGAGTATCACTAGAAATATTATAAAGAGTCGTCTCTGTACCACAGTTTGCTTTCAGTAAACACCGACAGCATTCACTGTTAGCATAGCACATCCATGTTAGCAGTGTATAACTGGATGGATTAGCATATTAGCACAGATATCAATAAAGGACTACCGTATTAAATAGTTTTACTAACCTCAGGCAGACGGACAGGCGCTCTGCAGGTGGGATTGAGCGCCTGTAGTTGGTGTCTAGGCGGGCGATGCTGGGACCGACGAGGGAAAGCAGGTCCTCAAACTGGCCAGTGAATGACGGTGATAGCGCTGGAATCGGCCGTCATCCAGGCGCAGCTCCTGGAGCAAGTGGTGAAACTCACCAAACTGCTCATGCCTCTGGAGGACCTGATGGACCCAGGTACGGCGAGGACGTCTTTTACGCTGCTGCTCTGCTCTCCACAGTACATAGAGAAGGGAGACTCTCTCTTCAAGCGCTAGCTCGATAGCTGCCATCTTGCAAAGATACCGGTCTGGCACAACTCCCTCCCACATTCCTCCCACATTTCCGGTTCACGCGCGTCAAAATATCATATTTTGACGCGCGATGGATTTTTCTTGGACACGCGTTGAGACGCGAATGTACACGCGTCAAATTAGGGGCGTTTGGGGCGTTTTATTCGCGTCCATCGCGTTCGGTGTGAACACACCGTAAGGACAGCGCTAGCAAGCGCTTTCTGCTTATGACCCAAAAATAAAATGTAATACTCTGATAAATATCAGTGGTATTTATTTTGTTTTCATGAGAATAAGTTAAAGAGAAAATAATTGTTCATGATGAGGTTAAGAGTGGTATAAATATGTGATATAAATGTTTGTATTAAAATGCATAAATAGTGTGTGAAAAAATCAGTTACGTTAAAAAACCATAATTTTATGGAATGTGAATGTCTGTTAAAAGAGAAGAAGTGTAACTTGTTTTGTATGCTACGTCACGAGAGGTCATGACTTGCAGATGACTTCCGGGGGAAAGAGACTCGGGAGGAAGAGAGGAGAAAAAGAAGGATTACTAAAATGGCATAGACGAAGCATGGACTTCGGGACTGCTTATGTCACCAAAGTTGTTCGGCAACAACATATCACCCGTCTGCGGGCTTCCCGGTAATCATTCGGAGCGTTTGAGCCGGGCTTCCCGTATCTTTTGTGCTTGACTAAGCACGAGGCACATTTGGCTACGTTGGCTAGCTGGAGCTAGGCTAACGCCACGGTCCTGGCTAACGGAGATTCCGCCGGAGCGGAGAGACGGAGTTGGAGAGTTGTCTCGGGAGAGAGTCGCTAACCGTGGATGATTCGCTGCTATCTAAGGAACCGGAGATTCGTTGCTCGCTGCCGCGAGTGGAGACGGTTGCTACCACAACGAGCGAGTTATTCATCGGAGGAGGTGGAGACATCACGGATACTCGGAGGTATTGTTGTTATTATTAAGAGCTCCAACTAAAGCGCGCCAACAACAAAAATAAACTAAGAGTGCACTCTGGGAAAAGAATAACATTGGACAGATTAAGGGAAAAAATACTGAAATCTATCCCCCGGGGGTTTATTGTATGTTTTGTATATGTGTTTTTTTTTCATGAAGAAAAAAGGGTTGGATGTGAATTTCCTGCAATTGTTTAATACATTTTCTAACCCTGAGATCCTGTGTTGGGTTTATTGCATGGTGTCTTATCATTTGAGTATTCACATGTATTAGCCTTAATCGGTTAAGTGTATTTCCTTAGCCTCCGCTTGTCTGTGTGGACACGAGAATCATATGAACCCTAGACTGATATTTATTTTTTGAGATGTATCTTTTATCACAGAATGTTTAAGTAGAGTCAAGACTGCACCCGAGGGCATAAGGGGGGAGTCTTGTCACACGAGCCGGTGGTAAAAGTGTTACATTTTTGGGGGCTCGAGCCGGGATTGTATGTAATTTTGTTATGACTGACCTGGTTTTCCGTTATTCACCAAAGAGAGGGAACAAATTTTTTTTGAGATTGCTAAGGAAATTATTTTCATTGTCAAGTGTGGTTACATTTATTGTGAGATCTCTTACTGTTTGAGCTAAAAAAAAAAAAAAAAAAAAAAAAAAGAAAAAAAGAAAAATGGAAGCCGTTGAAATTGAAGCTTGGTGCAAAAGGAAGCAGTTAGCTTATGGACATGCAGTTGTTTTGAGTGATGTGGACCCCGATGTCACAGATGCAGTTCTGCTATCGGCTTTGAGTCAGGTCAAAGTATTTGGAAAATCTGAGATAGTTGACCGTTGTCTTGATGTAGCTTCTAAGACACAGTTGGTACTGATCAAGACTTCAACTGATTTAAGAAATCAAACCGCACCGGATGTTGTTGGACTCCCTGGTGAGGCGGGTCCATGGCCAGCTCATGTGCTCACTGCTCCTGCAGAAAATGATGAGTTTCAATCTAAGCTAATGTCATTCCTGAATGCGGAAGGTAAAACTCTTACTGACGTTGGTGGCTTACTTCAGCCTTCACCCCTTGATGTGAACACGGCTTTGATACATGCTATCAGTTCCTTAGTGGATAAATGTAACACCACATCTGTTGATTCTCAGAGCTATCGTAAGCTGCGCATGTTCTCTGGTGTGAAACCTACGCCCAATGGGGAGGAAGAGTATGATGCCTGGGCAGAACAGACAACACATCTGCTAGATGAGTGGCAGTGCAGTGACAACATAAAGAAACAGCGAATAGTGGAAAGTCTGAAAGGTCCAGCTGCAGACATTGTAAGGTTCTTGAGAGTGCAGCAGCCCACTGCAACTTCATATGACTACATGCAGGTTTTGGAGACGGCTTTTGGAACAACTGAGAGTGCGTCCGATCTTCTGGTGAAGTTCAGACATACCTACCAAAATGTGGGCGAAAAGTTGTCTACTTACTTGTTGAGGTTGGATAAACTGCTGCACTGTATTTTCAGAAAAGGAGGCGTGGCACTGTCTGACATGAATCGATTACGGATGGAGCAGGTTGTGAGGGGAGCACTGCAACAAGACATGATTGCACTTCGTCTTCGTATGACTCACAAGCTGCGAGAACCCCCTTCTTTCAGTGAATTGCTAAAAGAAGTAAGGGAGGAAGAGGACATGCTCCAAAGCAGAAACGATAGTAAGAACCCAGTAATGTCACAGTCTGTAACTCCTGTTTCTAAGTCGGCACCTGAACAAGAAGTGGCAAAGCTGAAAAAAGAGTTAAGTGTCATGAAAGCTGAGATGCTTAGTCTTAAAGCTGCTACGATTGCATCACATCCAGACACCCAGATTTCACAACCAGAAGTCCCTACCAAGCCACCTTATAAAAGAAATGCTACCCCACAAAGGTCTGGCTATCAAGAGGATAAACCTGGAATATTTTGCTACAGATGTGGGGAGGATGGACATTTTAAGAGAGAATGTGAAGGTGAAGAAAACCTACTCAAAGTCAACAAGCGCCTCATTAAACTGACAAAGAAATCGGGAAACTACCGCGGGGTCCAGTAGAGGAACGGCCTGGCATCCCGGTGGTTGCAAAACGTTCCACCAAGTGCAGCACCTTAGAGGGAAAAGTGAAAGACACTGTACCTGCAGGCTTAGTGGGCCCTAGCTCTGTAGTGTCGGTACAGATTGAAGGCATCTACTCTAAAGCCATACTCGATTCTGGTTCTCAAGTAACCCTGCTGTACAGATCCTTCTACGACAGATATTTGACACACCTGCCATTGACGTCTATCGACACGTTGGCGATATGGGGTCTCAGTTCCGCCGAGTACCCTTATGATGGCTATTTGTCACTTAGGCTGGAGTTTTTGGAAGCAGATGTAGGCGTGAGTGAGACCATTGATGCACTTGTGTTGGTATGTCCCGACCCAGTTGTGAGAGGTGAAGTTTCCCTGCTTGTTGGCACCAACACACCCACTGTGAGGCGATTGCTTAGCCACTGCAGGGAAAAGGGAGGGGAAAACTTTGTGAGATCCATGCACATTCACCCAGTCTTCAGAAAAGTTTTCAGTGAGATCTCAGTGTTACCACCTGATGCTGACAGTAACCAGAGGGGAACGGTGTGGTTCACCCAAGCCAAACCTGTCACCATACGGCCTGGGGGAGTCGCCCAAGTGGCTGGGGCACCAAAATTTCAGGGAGCGCTGGGCACTCAGACAATCCTTGTAGACTCACCTGATGACCCTGAGAATGAGTCACGGTTTCCCGATGGACTCCTGGTGAGACCAGAGTTGCAGACCTCCACTGGGGTGACGGCAAAAAGAATTACTGTTCTAGTTAGAAACATGTCAGCACGGGAAATTACCTTGACCAGAGGGACACCAATAGCTCATCTGTTTCCAGTCGACGTTGTGTCATCTCTACCTGGGAAGGAAGAGTCTGAAGTCGAGTTCCCTGGGAAGCTGAGCCCCTCTTCTTTCAACTTTGGAGACTCACCAGTTCCTAAGGAGTGGAAGGAAAGGTTGGTGACAGAAATGATGGAGCGGAGTGAAGTTTTCTCTCTGCTTGAGTTTGATGTCGGATGCAGTAAGAGCACCCAGCACACTATTAAAACCACAGAGGACAAACCATTTCGGGAGAGGTCTCGTCGGTTGCCGCCTGCTGACGTGGAGGCATTGAGACAGCATCTAGCGCAGCTAAAAACTGCTGGTGTTATTACAGAGTCACGCAGTCCTTATGCCTCACCCATTGTGGTCGTGAGAAAGAAGAATGGGAAAATAAGGATGTGTGTGGATTTTCGGACCCTAAACCGCCGCACCACTCCCGACCAATACACGGTGCCAAGAATTGAAGATGCTTTGGCATGTCTCAGTGGAAGCAAGTGGTTCAGTGTGCTTGACCTTCGGAGTGGATACTATCAAGTGCCCATGGCAGACTCCGACAAGGAAAAGACAGCTTTCATTTGCCCGGCTGGATTCTTCCAATTTGAAAGAATGCCACAGGGAGTGACAGGGGCTCCCGCTACATTTCAGCGGGTAATGGAACAAACTGTTGGAGACATGAACTTGCTTGAGGTGTTGGTCTATCTCGACGATCTCATTGTGTTTGGAGCCACGCTTGAGGAGCATGAGATCCGGTTGCTGAAGGTGCTTGACCGTCTAAAGGACGAAGGACTGAAGCTGTCACTGGATAAATGTCAGTTTTGTCAGCCATCGGTGACTTACGTTGGGCACATCATATCTCAAGACGGGGTGTCTACTGATCCAAAGAAGACTGAAGCTGTAACCGCATGGCCAAGACCCAACACTGTGACTGCGTTACGGTCGTTTCTTGGATTCTGTGGGTACTACCGGCGTTTCGTGAAAGATTACTCCAAGGTAGCTCACCCATTGAACCAACTGTTGTCTGGTTACCCTTCAACTGCAAAGAAGAAAGTAAAGGAGAGACAGGATGGTCCGCACCTTAACCCCGCAGAGCCCTTTGGTGGTCGATGGAGCGGAGAATGTGAGGCAGCCTTCGAGGAGCTGAAGCGACGACTTACCCAAGCTCCTGTGTTGGCCTTTGCCGATCCTCAGCTACCTTATGTGCTGCATGTAGACGCTAGCCGGGAGGGCCTAGGAGGAGTGCTGTACCAGGATCAAGGCGAAGGATTGAGACCTGTGGCTTTCGTCAGTCGGAGTTTGACTCCTTCAGAAAAGAATTACCCAGCCCATAAATTGGAATTTTTGGCGCTGAAGTGGGCGGTAGTGGACAGACTGCATGACTATCTGTACGGGACCAAGTTCGAGGTGAGGACAGACAACAACCCTCTGACATATGTGCTAACGTCTGCCAAGCTAGACGCAACGGGTCACCGTTGGCTTGCTGCCCTGTCTACATATGACTTTAGTCTCAAGTACAGAGCAGGAGTCCAAAACATTGACGCTGACGCTCTCTCTCGCCGGCCACAATCGGGGTCGATATCCAAATCCGAGTGGGACGACGTTCCTGCAGCAGGAGTGAGAGCCTTGTGTCAAATGTCTGGGGTGATGAAACATAAAAACCCACGATCCGGAAGAGCCATTGACTCTTTTGGCACTTCTCCACAAGCTATCCCACAAGCTTATTGCAATCTGGCTTCTTTGAGTGTTAAGAATATGCCCTTTGTGAGTCTTGCTGAGTTGTCGACCGCTCAACGGGAAGACCCCGGCATAGGTCAAGTGTGGACAGCTCTGAGTAATGGGAATAGTAACCAAGTTGACAAGACCAAGCAACCAACTTGCTCTTTGCTGTTGAGAGAGTGGGACAGGTTAAAGATGCAAAAAGGAGTGATGTATCGCATTGTAACTCATCCAGGGAAATCCCGCTGTTCTCAGTTGGTACTACCAGAAAAGTATAGAGTCCCTGTACTGAAATCACTGCACGATGACTCAGGTCATTTGGGCCTCGACAAGACATACGGCTTGGTAAGAAACCGGTTCTACTGGCCTCGGATGAAGTCAGAGATTGAAGAGTATTGCAAGTCTTGTGAGAGGTGTATAAAAAGAAAGACTCTACCCAAGAGAGCTGCACCTTTGTCGCATTTGCAAAGTGAGGGACCGTTCGACCTCGTTTGTATGGACTTTTTGTCCATAGAGCCTGATTCGAGCAGCACAGAAAATGTTCTGGTCATTACCGATCACTACACTCGTTATGCTCAAGCTTTTCCAACAAAAGACCAGAGAGCCTCTACGGTTGCAAAGGTGTTGCTGGAGAAGTATTTTGTTCATTACGGACTGCCACGGAGGATGCACAGTGATCAGGGCAGAGATTTTGAAAGTCGCCTTGTCCATGAAGTGTTGAGTTCACTTGGAGTTGAAAAATCAAGAACGACGCCCTATCATCCTCAAGGAGACCCTCAACCCGAGAGGTTTAATAGGACGTTGTTGGACATGTTGGGGACCCTGGAACCGAACAGAAAGAAAAAATGGAGTCAGCACGTCGTTCATTTGGTTCATGCTTATAATTGCACTCCAAATGAAGCTACAGGTTTCTCTCCTTATTTCCTTATGTTTGGGCGTGAAGCTAGGTTACCTGTGGATTTGTGTTTCGAGACTTCTAGTGATGGCACACCACAGAAAACTTACCTCAAGTACGTTTCTGACCTGAGGAAGGAGTTGAAGGCTGCCTATGAACTAGCAGAGTCCGTCGCGGCCAAACAGAATGAGAACAATGAGCAGCGGTATGACAAAAGAATCAGGTTCGCACAGTTGTTACCTGGAGACAGAGTCTTGCTACGAAACCTCGGGTTACAGGGGAAGCATAAACTGGCCGATCGCTGGGCGTCAAAACCATATGTTGTGGAAAGCAAGATGCCGAACCTACCAGTGTTCCGGTTGAAACCTGAAGATGGTGATGGACCAATCAAGATCCTCCATCGAAATCACTTACTGCCTCTTGGGGAGAGGATATGTCTAGACTCTGCATCCCATACGGATCTCACCCCTACAAGGAGAGTCTTGCGACGGAGGAAACAGAAAGAATGCACAGACAAGCCTGGAAAGGAAAAGACACTATCGCAGAGAACGGCAGATAAAGACTCTGAAAGGGAAGGAGTCACACCCAGTGATAAAGATGAGAAAGAGTACACTGACTCCGAAGATGAGGATTTTGGACTTTGGTGTGATCTGACTGTTGAACCTCTCAGGTGCAACATGGATAGTGATACTCTGGAACCGTTCAGTCTGGATTTGGGTATTTCCTTAAGCGACGTAGCTGAACAACCAAAAACAGTTGGGCTGGGAGTAACACAGGAATGTGTAGAGGAACCTGAGACGGACAGTGTAAATGAATCTGAGTCTGTTGAGATCATCGAAGCCGAATCACCTGATACTTGCGAGAATCCTGAGGAGACAGGGAAAGACAAAGCACTGCCTGAAGACATTCTCTTGCAAGAAGAGGACACTGAGCTTAACTCTGAGACTAATCCTGACTTTGACATTAAGACCAGACCTCAGAGGTTAAAGAGGGCTCCTTTGAGGTTAACTTATGATGAACCAGGTCATCCCAGTGTGGTAGCCGCCACTACAGTGAAATATGTCTCTTGTTTTTATAAGTGGATAGGTACATCCATCTTTGCTTAGTTGTGTGTTTTACTCACCTGTTGTGCCATACTGGTTTATGTTTTCAAGGTACAAAGTCATGAGGGCATGCTTTTCTTTGGTGGGGGGAGAGTGTAATACTCTGATAAATATCAGTGGTATTTATTTTGTTTTCATGAGAATAAGTTAAAGAGAAAATAATTGTTCATGGTGAGGTTAAGAGTGGTATAAATATGTGATATAAATGTTTGTATTAAAATGCATAAATAGTGTGTGAAAAAATCAGTTACGTTAAAAAACCATAATTTTATGGAATGTGAATGTCTGTTAAAAGAGAAGAAGTGTAACTTGTTTTGTATGGGTGCCTTGAAAAGCGCTATATAAATCCAATCCATTATTATTATGCTACGTCACGAGAGGTCATGACTTGCAGATGACTTCTGGGGGAAAGAGACTCGGGAGGAAGAGAGGAGAAAAAGAAGGATTACTAAAATGGCATAGACG